TGTGTGTTATTACAGGAAGCCCCAAGATCTTCATACTACTGAGTTTCCCAGCAAAGAACATGTTCTTTCTGTGTTTCCATTAACATTTTGTTTCTCTTGCGTATTTCTTATTAAATCCATTTCTAGGGGGAGTCGAGAGACAACGGCTCAGTGGTTAAGAGCACTTGCTGCTTTTGGAAAGGATGGCAGGTTTGGTTCCCAGAACCTACATGGTAGCTCACAAACACCTATAACTCCAGTTCCAGGGAATCTGACACACTTCTGGCCTCCACAGGTACCAGGCATACGTGTGATGCACATGCATACATGCATGCAAAACACTCATACATATAAGTAAATAAATTTATCTCTAGGTATTTCGATTTCAATATTTCCACTACAAATTAGTTTATGTAATTGGCTGATCGCTAAACTTGATAATGGTTCATGTCAAAGACCTACCTAAGAATAGAGTTTAAAATTACTTCTGTTCAATAATTACCAAGAACCTGAGAGGAACATGACATGGAATTGTCTAGAAGATACAAGAAACAAACCAACTAGAAATGTCTCTAGCAGGAACCAGATTAATAGTATGGTACCCATCTGGGCCTTGTCGTAAGGGCTCCATGTGGAGCTGTTATCTAATTCTACTATGAGGTCAGGACATTGGCTTATGAATTTTTTTTTCAGAACTTAGTAGGAAGCTGGTTTTCTCTTACATTACATCTCACTGCCTCTGCAAAGCTTTCAATGAGAAATCCTCCTGGTCTTTGTTCCTTCTGAGAAACTCCCCTGTGCTGTTAGCTGCAGACCCTGATCTAATCACATGACAGGGCACTTCCCTCATCACTAGAGAACTGGGTCAGATTTTCTCCTGTCATTTCCATGGATGCTTTTATTTCTTGCCTTGAACTTCCTCACCTTTCTGTTTTTCATTTGCTTTCCTCTTGTGACACTTTATACATCATTGTAAGCCATTTGAAATGTTTTCTGGATCAAAACAGGCTTGAAAATACTGAGATGGGTTTGTGTCCTATAATCTATACTCCAATTCATTAAATTGCATGATAAGGACGATTTGCCATAACACTGGAAAATAAAGAAGTTAATTCTGAGATAAAAAATTACATGCTTTAAAATTACAGATTGTATGTTAGGGGCATTATTAATCACAGCAACATTACAACTATTCTGAAGAATGTAAAAGCCCAACTCTTAAAATAAGCTTTTAAGAGTCCCCCCCCCCCACACCCCCCAGCTATCTATTAGAACCATCTGTCTCCCAGAACTGTGCAGATGGAGCTCTCCTGTCCCCTCAGCCTGTGCTAATGGAACTAACTCTGGAACCCTGTTTCTCCCTCCTACCATACCCGCCCACCTCCCACCCCATCAGGCCACACCCATAATTTATTCAAAATGGATTCTCCAGTTTCTTTGGAGAAGTACAGTATAAGTTCAGCTCCACCCTTATGTCTACAGACCACAATCCTTTTCATCCCTGGTGTCTCATTCATCCAAGGTTGCACTCTCTTCTCAACCTCCACTGCTTCCAGTGGGTGAGTGTCCTGCTTGCTGCACTTTGATGTTAATTCTTAGGACTGTCCTCTCGAAAACAAACTGTGGACACGTGCCATCTTCCCAAGCTTGCCTAGGAGCGTCACAGCTAAACCTGCTGACTGCACACTTCTGCAAGGAAGGCAGGACAGGGAGAGACATGGGTCAGGCCAGGCCCTGGTTGCATGAGGGGGAAGAGTTAAGGGTATATAAGGTGAGGAAGTCCATTTGGAGGCTCACCCACTATTTTGTGCAACTGTGGGGAAGTCACATTGTGAACAAAAGTTCCCAGAAAAATTCTGTATTTTGAACTAAGCTAACCAACTTCAGTGACTGTGTAGAGTTTGGAATGTTGCAGATCCAATGTTTACATTTTATCTAGGCTCTATTTAGCCATAAATAGCCACTCCTTGCTTATCTCTGTTTCTGATTTAACCTTCTTATGAGTAACAATGTATTAACTTAACAGTTCCCACCAATCAAAAGGCTAAGAATGCCATCAGACAGCATCTGAGGCCTGTAGTTGAAATTTCTCTTTTGCTGTGTCTACCTACTTACTGTTTCCACCAAAGTTGTCTTTTATGACTTTTCTTTGTTCTATCACTATAAAAACTTCATGAAGCTGTTACCACATTGGTGCACGGAATTTGGGGTAACCTGTATCTGTGTTCCCAGGCCATGGTCACTCATATTTGACTCCAGAATAAACTATCTCTTAACCCCTTTGAGGTGAGGATTATGCATGGATGAAGACTTTCATGTGGGACCTGGGAGGAATGCCCACACTTCTGTAAGTAAACCCTCACCTACTGCTCTGTAAGTAAGCCCAATAAACTCACTGCTCTCCCAGTCTGCAGTTTGGTGAAATTGGTTTATCACTGGGACAGAGGGGGAGGGCAAAGGGGGAGGGATGGAGCCTGGGGGTCTTCCTCTGTCATTCAGGGGAGGGGTCCTGTCGTGCACCCCTACACTGCCTAGAGACAGGGTTTCTCACTGAACAGAAGATCACCATTTTTGTTAAGCTGGCTGGCCAGTGAACTCTCAGGACCTGCCTTTCTCCAGACTCAGAACTTGGGAGTTCCAGGCTTGCACAGGCACACTCTGCTTCCCACCTGAGTGTTGGAGATTAGAATTTCGGCCCTCAAGCTTGCAGAAAAAGCCTTCTTACCAACTTACCCACCTCCCCAGCTTCACAGATTGGGTTGTTGTTGTTGTTTTCATTAAAAAAATTTTGTGTATGAGTGTTTTGCCTGCTTGTATGTAAGTGAACCACATATGCCCACAGAGACCAGAAGAGGGTGTTGGATCTCCTGAAATTGAAATTACAGGCAGTTGTTAGCCACCATGTGGGTACTGGGAACTGAACCCTCTGCAAGATTAGCCAGTGCTCTTAACTGCTGAGCTATCTCCCTAGCCCCTATAGATTGGATTTTTTAAAATAGTCTTAGCTCTAATTTCTACAACAAATATCATTTTAAAATACTTTCTAGGAAAATAACAATACAGGTCAACTTCAGACATAGAGCCTGTCTAGGAGTCATTGTATTACTCTTACTTGTTTGTCTTATCATGTGAAATGTGGATTTATAAATACTCACATATGTATGTATATATACATACTGTTTCTTGTGCTGGCTCCTGGAAACATCATTTCTTAGCCAAGAGTTGCTCTGTTTGTATATGTCTAGTTTCCTCCCCAAATCATGTAATTTTCAAGTTACATTTGTGAATGAGAAGTTCTCAGAAAAATCCTGCAACTTGGACTGAACTTCCTGCAAGGCTGACCAATTGATTAGCACTTTAATGACTGTGGAGAGTGTGGAATATTGCCAATCCAGAGCCTGGTTACAATTTAGCTTAGGCTAAGTTTAGCCAGTAAATAGCCACTCTGTTTCTGACTTAACATCTTGTGACTAGCAGAATTTATTAACTTAAGAAGAAATCGTTCCCACCAACCAAAAGGATGAGAATGTCATCAGATAGTATGTGAGATCCATCCCCCCGACACTCACTTTTCTGTGGCCCACCTACTGAATGTACCTACCAGTGTAGTTGATTAATGACTTTTCTTTGTTCTGTTACTATAAAAACTTTATGATAAGCCGGGTGTGGTGGCACACGCCTGTAGTCCCAGCACTCAGGAGGCAGAGGCAGGTGGATTTCTGTGAGATCGAGGCCAGCCTCGCCAGCCTCGTCTACATAGTGAGTTCCAGGTCAGCTGAGGCTGTGGGGAGACGCTGTCTCAAAAAGCCAAAAAAAAAAAAGAAAAGAAAAGAAAAGAAACTGTTACTGTATTGGATTTGATTTGGGGTAACCTGAATCTGTGTTCCTGGGCCAAGGTCATTTACATTTGGCTCCAGAATAAACTATCTCTAATCCCCTTTAAGGTAAAAGTTATGCTTTTGCATTGACTAATGTGAAACAATATTTTGGTGACTCAATATTAGATTAAATGTGCTGTTGTATGTGCATGCATGTGCATGCATGCATGAGGAGGCTGATGGTTAACCTTGGGCATCATTCATCAGGAGTAGTCCCCCTTATCTTTTGAGACAAAGTTCTCACTGGCCGGAGGCTCACCATCTATTAGATGAGGCTTCCTGGTCAGCCAGGGAGCCCCAGGTACCTTCCTGTATCTGCCTCTGTGGCTCTGGGATTATAGATGTGACATTATCCTGGGCCATCAAGATGAGTACTGATGATCTGAACTCAGGTTCTCATCTTTGTGAGGTGAGCACTTTACCCACTGAGTCATCTCCCCAACCCCTAAACAGTGCTCCTCATGATAAGCCAGGGAAAAGAAAACATGAACAAAGAAGTTAGAAAGTAATTTGTTGAAATCTTAATAAAGGGCTGGGGAGATGGATCAGTGGGTAAAGAGCACTGACTGCTCTTGCAGAGGACCTGGGTTCAGTTCCCAGCACCCACATGGCAGCGAACAACCATCCATACCACCAGTCCAGGGGATCCAACGCCCTCTTCTGGCCTCTGTGGGCATTGCATGACACAAGTGTACTTACATTCATGCACACAAAATACTCATAATGAATAAATCCAAACTTATGTAAAAAAAGAAATCTTGATAAAGCCAGGCGAGGGGACTGAACACATACAAATCCATGGAGTTTCTTTAACCAAGTGTACCTGTCTCATTCTGGACCTGAAGGGGGGCAGTGTCACCGAGAGCAGGCGAGAGCAGGTGCTACATGCCTTGGCTGATGATTCCTAAGCTGCAAGAGGCTGAGCTGGCCTCACTAAGTGATAACCTTGCATGAGGGTCTGACTCAGGTGGATCCTGAACACCTCGGCCTGGAGCCCGGAGCCCCTCAGAGTCCCATCCGTGGCTCCTTATTTTCACACACACACACACACACACACACACACACACACACACACACACACACACATACACTACTTCTAATACTTTTATTTGAAGGAGTCAAATCAACTGGCGCCCTTCTTGTAGAGAATCCCAGGTTGAGCCCCGGCTTAGAGAAATCGGTAGAGGTCGGCCTCTCTGCTGCGCATCTTCAGCAGGGCCCCAGGGTGGAACATGAGGTCCACAATGTACTCCTCGGGTGAGGGTAGGTTCCCGATCACGCCCTTCCGAGCCTCCTTCAGCAACTTCACTTCGTTCCACGCTCGGCTGTACTCGCCTCGAACCAGGGAGCAGCCCACCCCGATCTTATCAGCCAGCACCTGGGGGAGGAACCAAACACGGTGAACCCGGGGCAGCGGATGAGCGGGAGGGGAGAGATCCTGAGCGGGGAAACCCACCTGGGCAGAGTTAAATCAGACTCATGAAAAGCCGTGCTCCACAGAAAGCTAGAAAATGGGGAGTCAAACAAAGGCGAGGGGTCCCTGATGGAGCTGTAGGCGCCGTGTGCACACGGGAAGTGACACTTAAAGGCAGTTATGCCCCGGTGCACAAGATGGATGGGATAGTTGGAGAGAAGCCGTTCCAGGGCTCCCACCCCGGGAATCCAGCAGGCTGTGCACACGTCCAGGCTGCTCTCTGGCGGTGATAGGCAAGAGGGACTGGAGTCCATTCCCAGCCAGTCAGTGACCGTCTGGGCAGGAGGCTCAACCGCGCTTGGCACTCGGGCTTCCCGCAGCCACCTGGCTACTACAGCTTTTCTCCAGAGCATCCAGGCTGCCCCCTGATTTTGAGGCTTTTTTTTTTTTTTTTCATAGAACACACTGTGGTATTTATTATTTAAAAAAAAAATTAGAAATCATGTTTATTTCGCTTTCTGACTCTGGGCTTGTGCCTTCAGCTCCTGTCGCGGACACATTCAGCACACGTCGAACCACCATAGCCCTGCTGATGTGGGTGTTTTGTTTTGTTTTGTTTTGGACAATCTCATAAGGACTTTTGGTCTCACAGCAGGAACCGCTTGATGTCTGTCTGGACATACACCACGTGTGGCTTTTGGTGCTTTCCCAACCTTCTTGGTAAACAATCCTGTTACCAGAGGTCCAGGACAGCCTAGTTTTGTTAGAGGCTAGACCATTCTGAGTGCCTCCAAACACAGTCCCCAGAGGAGGAAAAGGAAATCATTGAGACTATTTTTTTAAAGCATATTTAAAATATTTGAAAACTTCTCAGCCAGGCTATAGTGACTAAGAGAGCTGGGATTTAAATTTCAACTCAGCCCTAATCTACTAGCTACTGACCATAAGAAACAGGTTCAGCTTCCCGTTTCTTTTCTGCAAAGAAGATAAGTTCATGATGCCTTCATGGTTGTGAAGAGAACGGCAATCTCCATGGTTATGGAGTGAATCAGTGCTTGCTGAGTCCCAAGCATAACTACCCAATAACACTAAGTGGTCCCAAGAGGCCAGAGTTGTGTTTTAATAATGTGTATATTCACGTCTTAGTTAATGTCCTGATTGCTATGCAGTGACTACCACAAGTGGTTTGTAGTGGGCCAAGATGATTAAGACCTGCTGGTCATTTCCAGGACTTGCCTTCTATCTAATTGGAGCCAGTCTAGGAAACAGCCAACTTAGTGCAAACAATATCGAAATCTATGGCCTTCACAGGCCAATGGGATACACAGTCCACATATACGTCTTAGTTAATGTCCTGATTGCTATGCAGTGACTACCACAAGTGGTTTGTAGTGGGCCAAGATGATTAAGACCTGCTGGTCATTTCCAGGACTTGCCTTCTATCTAATTGGAGCCAGTCTAGGAAACAGCCAACTTAGTGCAAACAATATCGAAATCTATGGCCTTCACAGGCCAATGGGATACACAGTCCACATATATACATACATATATATATATATATAATATATATACAAGCACGTGTGTGTGTATGTGTGTGTAATGTCTTCCAAATTAACAGTCTGCTGATCAGTCTCATATTCCCTGCCAAAGCACTTTAACTGAAACACTAAATACTATGCGCCATTCTGGAGTGAAATGATGTCAAATACTTTCCAGAAGTCACTGTAGGTGGGTCCTAATGTTTGTCTCCAGACTCTGAATGTGCCACCTCAGGAAAACTTGGTGAGCTGGTGAGTGAATGAATAACTTTTATCTGAAAGTCTCTTTTCTTTGTCTCTGTCACAAGGTCTTGTGCTCAGAGGGAAGGAGCATAGGTGTAGGGCTTAACTGTGGAGGAAAATCAGGAATACCCCTGTGATGAAGAACTTGCAGAAGAGGAGCAAGTGACACACATGCACTCAAATCTGGACACCCCGATCCTTCATGGCACTGCCTGCTGTTCCACAGCCCCTGTGTCAGAATGGACAGAACTGGCCACTGGATTGGTCCAGGTTGGCTGGCAGGGAAGAGGGGTGGAAAAATGGAAGAGAGGGAAGTGAAGGGAATGAGTGTGGGAGTTATTAGGGCTGAGGATGTATGTAGGCTGCCTGGGGGTGAAGTAACGCCAAACATGGGCCACCAGCCTACAAGAAAAAGGGAGAGAGTGTGTATGATGGGACGAGCAGAAGAGGAAGACAGTCAGTGGGAACTGACAGGTTTTCAGTGGTGGAGTTCTGGGTAATTAGCTGCATCACCCAGTTGAAGTATGAGTATGAGGAATTCAGTTTGGCATAATGAGCTCTGGGTGGAATATTGTGCACCCTCTCAAATCTGTATGCTGAAGCCTTGAACTCTAATGTGATAATATTTGGAGGCGAAGTGTTTGGGAGGTGATTAGGTTTAGGGGAAGCTCATGAGGGTGAGACCCCCACCATGGGAATTAGTAACCTTACAAAACCAGGAAGAAACAAGAACCCTGGCTTTTCCAGATGCTAAGTCTGTGGTCACATTAATCTTTGGCTTCTCAGCCTCCAGAACTGTGAAAAATAAATAAGTGCAGCTGAGCTATATAATACAGTGTACATATAAAACATATGATACAGAATGCCAGGCATGATGGCACACACACTCAGCACTCAGGAGGCAGATGCAGGCAGATCTCTATGATATGGAGGCCAGCCTTGTCTACATAGTGAGTTCCAGACAGGCTGGGGCTAGGGAGACCCTGTCAAAAAAAAAAAAAAAAGTAATACAGTACCCATGTACTCATATCCAGTTAGTTAGAGAGTAACAGGATGCAAAGATCTAGAATCAAGAGGTTTGCGGTATGGATGAAAGGATATGTGAACACTGAGCATGCTGGGACTCCATAAGTCCATGTGAAGATGCTACTCTGTGAAGCTCACGAACGGAACACAGAGGAGCATTGGATGAGAACCTACAAGCCCAGTATTTCAAAAAGGGCCGGCAGGAAGCAGACACCAAAGCAAACTAAACTGAAATGGCGAGAGAGGACAAAAGTCCCTAGAGAGAGGTATCCAAGAAAGAGGACGGTCAGGGATGAGTCCTTTGCTATATTAAGCCAAACAGACCACGAGGCAGCCACTACAGTCCTTGCTGAGAGAGTTGGAGCAAAGGTCTGCGGGCAGTGAGGTATGTGCTGAAGTGTAATACCAAGTCAGCATGACTCAGAATCTTGATCGGGAGTGAGAACTATATCTGGGTAGAAACAATACTACCAGTAGGTTTCTATAATTCAGATTAAAATGAATTCAAATTCTAGTTCCACCTCTGGTTGACCTGGGATTATTTTTCCAAGTATTAGCTTTCTTGTCTTTGAAAGCACAGATAGTGATTTTAATCTTTGGCATTTCTGAGACGTTTCCCAATTGTACTAACAAGGGCCTGGAAACAGCACACAATGATTGCTGCTTTGATAATCGGAGTCCTGTGTGTGGCTGTGGACACCATGAGAAAAGATTGACATGTCCTCTGTATATAGTGCAGACTTAAGCATGTTTAGATTCTAAAGGGAGGAACAATTAATAAAGAGATTTAGGATAGACGAGGAAGATGAACTCAAACCACAAAAAAATCCAAGGAAATGGGAAAGGCATGTAGACTATAAATAGGATTAGTTTGGAACAGGAGTAAGATACAAAGAGATGCAAATGAGATTATGACGGTTAATTTTATTGGTCAACTTGAGATACACCCTGAGCACTTTCCAGAGAAGTGAACGGGAGGAGTGAACAACATCACTTGTGCTGGAGAGCTTCAGTGTCAACGTGACACACCTGGGTGGTGGGGGCCGCAACTGGGGAATTGCCTCCATTGGTCTAGCCTGTGGCCATGTAGGGGGGCATTTTTTTTATTGCTGTGTGATATGGGAGGGCCCTGCCCAGCCCACTGTGGACAGTGCCACCTCTGGGCAGGTGGTCCTGTATTGTTTAAGAAAGCAGGTTGAGCACGGGCCAGGGGAGCAAGCCAGTAAGCAGCGTTCCTCCACGGCCTGTACTCCAGCTCCTGCCTCCAGGGTCCTGCCCTGAGTTTCTACCTTGGGCTCCCTGATGAACTGTGACCTGAGAGATGTAAGCTGAATAAACCCTTTCCTCCCCAAGTTGGTATTGGTCAGTGTTTTGTCACAGCAATTGAAGGCAGACTAGAAGAACACCGTCCCATGGGCTTGGATCCCAGTCTGAGAGAAAGAGAAAGCAAGCTGAACACCAGCATTCATCTCTCTCTCTGCATCCTGACTGCAAACACAGTATGACCAGTAGCTCATGCTCCTGTTTCCATGTCTTCTGTGCCCTGATGGACTGCACCCTCAAACTGTGAGCTAAAATAGACCCTTCCTTCCTTATAGTTTCTTGTTAGTCATTCAAAAAATATTTTATTTTTATTTTATGTGTATGAGTGTATTTCTTGCATATAGCTAGGTGTGCCCATGATGTGCAATGCCTGTGGAGGTCAGAAGAGGATGTTGGATCCCCTGGAACTGGAGTTACAGATGGCTGTTAGTGCCATGTGGGTACTGGGAATCAAATCTGGGTCCTCTGCAAAAGCAACCAGTGCTCTTAACCTCTGAGACACGTCTCAAGACCTCGTCAGGTATTTGTTTATGGCATCAAGAAAAGTAACTGCAGTTCCCAGCATCTACATGGTGGCTAACAACCGTCTATAACTTCAGTTCCAGGGGAATCAGCTCCCATTGCTCTCTTTTGGAATGGGAATATTTATTCTGTGACATTGTATACTGAAAGTATGCAACTTAAAAATTTACAGGGATCACAGTTAAGAGAGATTGCCTTAGTCTTAGAGTAGACTTAGAGACTTTGGACTTTTGAATATGTTAAAAGATTAAGTGCATTTTGTATTATGAGATGCCCATGAGCTCCCACGGATGAGGCAGGGAATATTTTGTCTTAAAAATTATGTGTTTGGGGAACACAGAGTTGGCTCAGCAGTTAAGAGCACTTACTAGACTACCTGGGCTTGGTTCCCAGCACCCACATCGCAGCCCACAACCATCCATAACTCCAGTTCCAGGGGATCTGATGTCCTATTCTGGCCTCCATGGGAACTACACGTGGGTGATACACATGCACACACACAGGGAAAAACTGGGATCCCAGACAGAATAAAGGGAACAAAAGAGAAACTGAGTTGGACGTCAGCACTCTTCTTTCTCAGCCTCCTGACAATGTGCACAGTATTTCCAGCTGCCTCACGTTGCTGCTGCCACACCTTCCCTGACCTGATGGACCGTACTTTCCAACTGTGAGCTAAAACAAATCCCCTTCCTCCCTTAAACTGCTTCTTGCCAGGTAGTTGGCCACAGAGACAAGAGAAGTAACTGATACAGAGGTTTATATGTACTAGGAAGGTGGAAGGAATTTTATACATTGTTTGCACATTTAGGAAAGATTTTCTTGTTTATTAGACATTGGATATAGTAGTGCAAATGGTCATCAGTCTCCTAAACTTGACCGTTCTCTGGTGCCCCATCTCTTAATGAGATGCTGACCTCTGACATCTGGTTATCCTACCCACAGCCTAGGAATCATTCTGTTTTCCCCAGGCAATCCCACCTCCATATTTAAGCAACTACTGGCTCCCTTTGGTTGTTATGTCCTAGGTCTGTCTCTACCTCCATCCCCTTCCACACTTGTCAACATGACCATAGCATTGACCAGTTACCTTGCAGTTGGTCTTCCTGTCTCTAGTTTTGTGTCTGTTCTTATTTCCCATTCTATGGCCTGAATGATTTTTCAGATTTATGTTCCTCCTCCTCATTGATGTTTTACTGCTTACTCAAATTTTAGGATGAAGGGCAAACTCACGTAGTTCTCCTCTCCATCTAACCTTACACCAGTGTTATTTTGTTTAAATATTTTAATTTTTTTCTCTTTATTTTATGTGTAAAATAATGAGTGCATTACCTACATGTAAGTGCATCCATGTCATGCAATGGCCAAGCTCTGCCTCCTCCTCCTCATGTTAGGAATTTAAAAAAAAATTATGTGTATGAGGGTATTGCCTGCATGTATTAGTGCACCCATGTCATGCAATGTCCGCAGAGGTCAGAAGAGGGTGTTAGATTCCCTTGGAACTGGAGTTATGGACAGTTGCTAGCTGCCATGTGGGTGCTGGGAATCGAACCTGGGTTTACTGTAAGAACAGCCAGTGCTCTTCACTGCTGAGCCATCTCTCCAGCCCCACAACATTTTATTTTGAAGACAGAGTCTTGCTATGCCATCCATGCTGGCCTCAGACAAGAAAATCCTGCGTCAGCCTCCCAGGACCTGGGATTACAGGGATTACATGTGTGTAAGCACCACTACACCTGTTACCTGATAAAACTTATGTAGCCTCCAACCATGAGCTTTGTGTTACTTCCTTCTCTGAAACCTTTCCATGACATCATCTCAGAGACTTAGACACCTCAAGTGCAGGGTCTATCACCTCACAGCCCTGGCTGACAGTAGGTATAGGACTGTTCTTCCAGTAGTCCTGTAAAATGTTAAGTGCATGTGTTTATGCACATCTAATCATAAATAATTGAATAAGTGAAAGGATTATTATCCAGGTAATTGTTAGCAGCTGGTTCAGTATGACATGATAAAGACAGAAACTCTTCAGCTGATGGAAAAAGAGAAAAAATATTTCAAATACCTTGAAAAGCAAAGCTCGATGGTAGAAGATTCCTTTCTTGATGTATCCAATTGGTACAACATTGGATTTAAGTTGGAATTTCAATTCACTGATATGAAGTTCCCAGCTGAAATCACACAGTTTCTCCTTTGGAATCCTACCACCCATTTTTTCTGCCACATATCTGTACCAATTACATTGAGATGAACATCAATCAGTTTTTAATATCTCACTTTGGATACTTTCTGTATAATTATACATATAAAAAATGTGTTTCCTCTGATTTTATTGATTTTTTAAAAATGTGCTTGCAGTAAAAAAATGCTTACTATACAAATAAATGTATAAACTGAAATTCTATAAATTTCATTTAATGCAAAGAAGAATGTGGATGCTAATATTCCCATTGTATATCACAAAATCCAAATGAATATCACACTAAATATAATGCAGTTTAAAATTTTTATCTTACTCTTGAAAAGTTAAGTGCTTTAATCTGAAATTCAAGGCATTTACTAACACGTGGATCTTCTTTCAAAGAATTTAAAGTCGAGGACAAAAGAAACCCAGAAAAGTTTCCCATTAGATCCACAGACATTTTCAAGTTTTAAGAAAAAAACTTGCATGTAAGTCAAGACCTCGCGTATAGCCCAGGCTGCCCTTGAGCTTGTAGACTGTTCCATCTTCTGCCTCACAGGAGCTGGATTACAGGAAGTGCCACCTAAGCTTAAATTTCCTAATTTTTTTAAAGTATGAAGTTAAGTGAGAGAAGAAGAGGAAGGCATGTTGGAGGAAGTAGCAGGCAGCGGAGATGATGAAATTGGGAGTTTGCTTTTGTTTTTTTCTGAATAATAAGATCTCATCATATGATAAATATCAGTAAATACATCTTCAAAAATGCTCTGTCAACTAAAGCTACCACATTCTGGGATAAAGGAAGAATTTCCTCTGGCTGTACTATGAAAGGTGATGGCAAAAATCCAAACCAAACCAGCAACTGAAAACCAAAACCAAAAACCTAAATAAAAACAACCAGAGAGAAAGCGGGGAGGGGCAGAGCCTCTTAACTCCCTGCGGTTCCAGCCAGCCAAGTCCTGGGGAAAGACCTAGGCTTCGCCCTAGCTTGTGGGTGGGTTCAGGTTTAAAAAGCCAACCGTTTGGAAGTGGTGGCGTAAGTGCCTTTGGTAGGAACCAAGTGTCGGGGAATTTGACAAACCTTAGCAGGACTAGTTCAGAGTTTTGCCTGAGTCATCATATCTCAAGGACATTGGGAAACTTTCGGTGCCAACCGCCTTCTCTTCTTGTCCTGGCTGACGCCAGTCTGAGATCTGGCAGCTGTGGTGCCGGCTGTTGTCACTTGCAGGTTTAACGACCTGCTACCCACTTCTACTTGGAATAGATACAAGTTCCCACAGAGACCGCAGCTGCTGCAGGCCTGCCGCTCAGCTGCTGGGTGGTATCAATGATGGAGTCCATCCTCCCGTTCCAGGGATTTCTGATCCCATACAGCCACGCGATCGGGGCCTCAGCCGTTCCTTAATGAAATGGGACCAAACCCTAAAAAGGAGGGCAACTTTGAAGGCTTACACAGAGCCCTGGCCTGCCCCAGCCTGGCAGTCTGTCAGAATGCTCACAGCTCACCTGACCCTGAGAGCAACAGGAAACAAACTATCAGGCACATACCAGAAAAATAGAAGATGCTTGTTCCTGCTAAAAAAGAATGTATGAGTTTATAGACAATGCACAATAGGATACCTTTGAATTATAAGTACCCTATATAATTAAAGAATTATTTAAGAACAAATTCATTCATAACCTCTCCAAGATTATACCAAAAGATACTTTTAATGAGAGCAACAGGAAACAAACTATCAGGCACATACCAGAAAAATAGAAGATGCTTGTTCCTGCTAAAAAAGAATGTATGAGTTTATAGACAATGCACAATAGGATACCTTTGAATTATAAGTACCCTATATAATTAAAGAATTATTTAAGAACAAATTCATTCATAACCTCTCCAAGATTATACCAAAAGATACTTTTAATGGTTTAGCTAGAAAAAAAAAAAAAAATAAGCATTTGCCTCTAAGGAATTTCAGGTGCTAGCTCTGATTCTTCATAGAAACACAGTTAACAGAAACAAACTTAATTCACTGTGTTTCTGCTCCAGAGTCAGAACTGGGGTACTGAAAGTACCATAGTTTATTTTGATGGATTTACTTTAAATTGACTTAAACCCAAACTAGTAAAATTTTTTAAATTTCAGAAATATATATATGCAGTGATATTATATATTTGTATATATACACACACACACACACACACACACACACACACACACATTTCAGAAATATATATATGCAGTGATATTATATATTTGTATACACACACACACACACACACACACACGGAGGACTTACTTTGCAAGAGCCTCAATCTGTTCCTTAATATTGGTGATGGGTAGTATTGACTTGGTCACCTCGGACACGTACACACAGAGCTCAGGGTCAGGGGGAGGGTACCACTCTTTATCAGGGCTGCCTTCGGTCAGTATGGGTACCGTCAGAAACTCTTCTTCCTCTTTCACCTTCTCCTCTTCCTTCTTCCCTCTGCCTTTCCTTTGAGAGTCAATGATAATAATCAAAATCCCATCTCCTGTCAATTAAATGAAAAATGCTAACCATGCTCTGAATGAATCTGAAAAGTATCACAGGGATAAGGAGAGGACGGCAGGAAAGGAGATAGATTCGAACACACGTATGAAAATGCTATAATGAAACCCATTTCTTTGTATGCTCTCTTAAAAGCTAATTTAAAAAAAAAAAAAACTAACTGGAGATAACTCCAATGTCCTTCAATAAGAAGACGTATCTGAGGTGGTATGCCCAGACAATGGAGTATTACTCAGGAAATAAACTGCTGATGCACAAAACAACTTAGAAGCATTTCAAAGGCATTGGGGTGAAAAACACGATTCTCAGAGGTTACACACTGATCCCAATAAAAGTCATCTTTGGCCAGACACGGTGGCAGTGCCTTTAATATCAGCAGAGGAGGCAGAGGTAGACAGATGTCTGTGAGTTCGAAGCTAGCCTGGTCTTCATAGTGAGTTCCATGCCAGCCAGGGTTATATAGTGAGACCCTGTCTCAAAAACAGAACAAAACAAAACAAAACAAACTAACCCCAAACAACATCAACATCAAAACCCTGCCATCCTATAGTATCAACAAACAGTTTGGAGACTGTCACGGGGAGTTGGAGCTGTTCTCTGTCCTGATTGTTTTGGTAGCTACACAAGCTCCACTTCTTCTAAAATTCACAGACTTCAAAAGACAATTTTCTGGCATCTTAGTTAAAACACTGAACCTTGCAGGGTAGTCTGGCTGACCCCAGGCATATGCTGGGTGTCCAATGAATCAATTTCCTGCTCTGAAGCCTCCCCCAATTAGCTTGTCCTAAACCTTTTGGTTTTTTTTTTTTTTTTTTTTCACGATACATCATCACTATTTTGTTAGAAATATGTCTGAGCTAGTACATAATATCCAAGGGATTCCCAAGGGATAGTACTAGCTGAGGGCTGGCAGAGGACTGACAGTGGGCAGCCATCTTCAGGGAGGACAGAGGGATCTCCTTAACTTGTCACCCCAAACTCTTTGCAAGGAATTCACAGAAACCTGAAAGGTGCAAGAGTCAGGCAAGGCCAAGCCTTCCCTCTTCACAGCTGGCCTAGGACTCAAACAGTCCCTCTTCATGTGTTTAGCTTTAGTTAATTGTTTTTTGTTTGTTTATTTTCCCTTAATAATTGCTAAGGTGCAAGCGCAATAAATAACACTGTTAAAGAAGGCCAGTCTTTGGGGACCACAGTCATGCGGGAACAGACCAAGAAAGACCCATCTCTGATTAAAAATAAATTTGAGCAATGAGCCTTAGAATGAAAGATGGAATCCAGGAGTGAAGGCAAGTTGGTGGGTATAGGTGAGCTGAGGCTACCCAAGTCCAGCCCCCAGCTATTGAGCATAGGCCACAGTCTCAAAGCTGACTTAAAGAGGGCAGAGCTTCGAGGAGGCCTCTCAGGTCACTCTGGCTAGTTCCAGCCAGTTCCTCCTGATGGACTTTCCTTCTGTACTTCCAGTCGTCCAGCAGAGTTTTGTCACCTCGCCGTTAGTGATGTAAATAAGCATGTCAGGTTGAATGAAAAGGAACTGTGTCTTTATCTAAACATCTCCCAGTCTTCCTCATATGTGTGAATGATGCTTCCTGTGATGCTGCATCTCCGTTAGGTTACTAGGCTCCGATAATATTAAGATTAAACATCAGTTCTTATTTATTTATTATTTATTTATTTTTATTTTATGTGTTTGAGTGTTATGCCTGCATGTAAATGCACCCAGATCATGCAGTGCCCTCTGATCTCCTGGAACTGGAGTTACAAATAGTTGTTAGTCCCCATGTGGGAGCTGGGATTCGAACCAGAGTCTTCTGCAAGAACAGCCAGTGTTCTTAACCGCTGAGCCATCGCTCCAGCCCCTAAACAGCAGTTCTTACCAAAACTCTTAATGCTTTATTGACAAGGAGCTTAAATTTGTTCCCGAGCCAAGAAAGTCAAGAACTTGGGGCTAATCCGATGCAGGCAAGAGAGGTCCTTAAGTTCCAATATTGGCCTTTCATCCCATTGGACCAAACTAGAACGGGAATTGGTCATCTTTGCCCATCCCTTAAAGCACAATGTAAGAGGAGGAATCAACCGAGGTCCACATGGATTTTCCTCTCAACTATTTTGAAAACAAACAAAGAGAATCTCTTCAATTGCTAATAATAAGTACAAACCATTTTCTCTTTTCTTTTTCTTTTTTTAGATAGGGTCTCCTGTAACCCAGGTTGGACACCAACTTTCTAGGAAGCCAAGAATAAGTTTGACTTTTGATCCTCCTGTTTCTACCTCCTACAGGCTGGGATTACAGATGTGCACCATCATGCTGGATTCATGCTGTGCTGGGATTTGTGCTGGGTATTTGTGCATTTCGGCAAGCACTCTACCAAATGAGCTACAACCCTGGTGCCTGTTTTATATTTTCTAATTAAATATGTTTGCTGCAGCTACGTGAAGAGGAGTCTAACAGCTTGTCAGTAAAGGTACTAAACAGACTAGGATAAACTTTCTAAGTAAATGTTAATATTTCAGTTGGGCGTGAAGTCAAATGCTTATAACCCCAGCATTCAAGAGACAGGGAGATCAAGAGTTCAAGGTCAGCCTGGGCTATACACAAAAACCCTCTCTCAAAAAGAAAAAAAAGGACAAAATAAAAATTAGTATTTCTTAGACATGCTGGGCATGGTTGTGTATCCTTTAATTCTAGCATTCGGGAGGTAGAGGCAGAGGCAGGCAGATTTCTGTGAGTTCAAGACTAGCCTGGTCGACAGAGTAAATTCCAGGTCAACCAGGGCACATAGTGAGACTCAAAGAAAAAAAAAAGGAGGAAAGAAAGAAAATTACCAAGTGTATTATCTTAACTTTGTTCCCTTTTGCAAAAAGTATAAATTGGCCATCTTTGCCCTCATAGCTCGGACTAAGTAAATGGGAAGCCAGCAGCAGGAAGCTTGATTAGAATTGCAGCAAGAAAAGGCAGGCTCTGAAGTTGACAACTGCAAGGGCACTTTCTAAGGCTGAGCTTTAGAAAAGGTTGATCTTGATCTTGAGATCATTAGGGCAGCCTATGGAGCAGAAGCAGGAGTATTTCTGTACCACATAAGAAGCAGAGCCACGTGGTGTGCAGGAGACAGACTGGGTAGATTTCAGGGGACAGACTTTGTGAATGATGCAGCAATCTGCTGCCACTCTGCTCCTGCAGGATCCTACTTGAAATAGAATCGCCTCTTTTGGGCTCCTCGTCCTAGTGATAAAGGCAGCCACATCCTGGTAATAAAGGTTTCAATATTACTTCGATTTCACTTCTAGATAATGCAGAAACAAACATTTGGAAATTTCACAAGTAACTCCTGTTCATATCAGTCCTCACAGGGAGAAAAAAAAAGCCACACGAGTTGATGATTCAAGACAGCAGTTTTTCCTGAAAAATCTTTAGCAAAATGGATCCTCAGAAAACACAGATTTACTGTAGGATCCGAACTCTAAATTCCAAGGTGCGTGAACAGGAAGGTAAGCAAACAATATTTAGCTGGCTCCAAAGTATACATTGACAGTTCCAAGGTTTAATCACTCTCTCCTTTGGGTGTGTGTTTCGGTGATTTATTATATAGTCCTGACCAAGGATAAACTTAAACCAGCAGGATCAGGCGTGGTGGTACATGCCTTTAATCCCATGAGGAGGCAGAGGCAAGTAGATCTCTGTAAGACTGAGGCCTGCCTTGTCTACATAGCAAGGCCACCTGGGGCTGTAGGGAGATCCTGTCTCAAAATAATAATAATAATAATAATAATAATAATAATAATAGAGGCAGCAAAATTCGAATATTAGGATGCAAGACATAAGTAAAGTCATTCATATTTATAACTACTCACATACAAATGGATGACTATTAGCCAAGCAAAGAATTACTCTGGCCTTTGAAATTCTAAGACATTAATAGAATTTGATTGGACAGAAAAAGGTGGCTTCAGGTCTTAAACAGCTGTTCTAGAAGAAAATGTCTTGATGATGGCACACTTGCTCCTTTTGATACAATCAACTATTAAACATGCAAATTGTAAGGCCAGAGATACAAGTAATGAACCCAGCCTATTTCGGGTTTTAACCAGAGCAACAAGATCCTGGTCTGTGGAAAATAATCACAATACCAGAGAACATTCAATAAATTCTAGGTGGATGATTATAAGAAATTCGAGGAGTTCAACAGTGAAGTAAATGTGCTCCAAGTGGAGGCCCCGCTCCACCCGACCTGCATCAAACCAAAAGGAAGAGAGTCCTGTAGGAAGTGGAAACAGGACTCCTCTGTGGGAGAGTGTCTGTTCATGTACAGAGTTTATTTTGTTTTTCCGTCTCTCCACTAGGATGTAGGTTCCATGCAGACACACATGTTTATACACTGCCATATCTCTAGAGCTGAGTAGTTGCTGAGTAAGCATTTGTTAGGAGAATAAATAAATACTGGATAAGTCAGTGAAAAGATATCTAAATGTGACTAAGAGACAGTACCTATTTCTGAAAGACATTATAGTCAAGGTTTTGGAGAAGAAACAAATATAGCCAATGTATGGGATAAAAGCATTTATGGAAATTGTCTTTTAAATAATGTCTAGAACTTCAGTGGGCATGGGTACCAAGTTTTTCTGAGTAGCAAGCATGCTGAAGCATCTTATAAACATCTAAGAGACTCCAGAGGCGAGCAGGCTGGAAGGAGGGTAAATAGGAGAGAGAAAAGCAGTGTGGTCTAATAAACTCATTCACAATTAGTTCAATATTATGAACACAGATCTGAATACCAACAGTAGGATAAAAACATGCACACTACATCTTCAAAGCAGTCTCTACACATAGGATGAATGCATCTCTTAACTCTCACCAGAGACATTTCCTTATGTAGCAGATGATGATTAACACAGAAACCCACAATTGGCCAATGTTCAGAGAACAAGAGGCCGCAGAGTGCTCATCCCTG